GTTTCACACATTGCATTCAAAGTGTGTAAGTTGTTAATGTGTGTGTGTGTGTGTGTGCAGGTCAGCAGAGCCAGCCCCAGATGACGGACTACAGTAAGGCCTGGGAGGATTACTACAAGAAACAGAGTACGAGCCGCCTCTCTCTGAGCTGTTAGAGAGGCTCATTCATGCTTTCTGTCTCTTCCTTAGTGTGTTCTATAGGTTTTAGTGCATGTCAACAGGCACGTTCACACCGGAGTACTTTTCCCCGTACTTTTCCTGTTTAGTTCCGTTCGTACCCCTTATTTTGCGTTCACACCAAAAAGAGTACTTAGTGCCGGGAACTTTTACCCCCACTTTCAGTCCCTGCTAGAGAACAGGGACTTTCATGGGGAGAAAAAAAGTACCAATTTCTATTGGCTGGGCGGATTGCAAACCCCCCCCCCGTAAAACTCTGAAAATTTTTGTGAAGCCGCCATTGTATTTGCTCGCATTAACATTATTAGCATTAGCATTCGCCCAGCGCACAAACGCAGAGAGACTGGCTTATGGCAACACAAAAGAATACATGGGAGCGGTGGAGATGAGGAGGTGTCGGCATTCTGGTGATTTAGAAGCTGCTGGGAGTCCCAGCAGCTTCTACTGAAGCCAGTCCCCAACTCCGGGGACTTCCGGCCGGGGACTTCGGGTGGCAGTATACGCCGTGAAGTTGTTTGCGGCCTGCCAGTAAACCCAGAGCAGAGGAAGACGAAGTGACGTCAGCGGCTTAATTTGTGTAATCTTCCCTCAGGGACTTATTCCGGTGTGAACGCGATCTGTACTTAGTGCCATGGGGTACTAAGCTTCGGTACTATGTACGGCAAAGTACTTGGTGTGAAAGCGGCTAATGGTCTGCAGAGGCTAGAATCCCTTTGCTCCCTCCAGTGTTTCAGGACTTAGTACCGGAGCATCGGTTCTTGTGTTATTGTCTCAAGTAGTTTATTAGCTAGAATGCTAGGGTTCAAACTGGTTTACTAAACTATCTACGTTATGTAAACAAATGTGTTTCTGTTAGTAAAGCTAACGGACAAAGTATAGCTGTTAGCTTTACTGTTAGCTTTACTCTGTCCGTTAGCTTTACTTTGTCTGTTACCTTAGCTGTTGGCTTTACTTTGTCTGTTAGCTTAGCTGTTGGCTTTACTTTGTCCGTTAGCTTAGCTGTTAGCAGGCCCGGTTCTACGGGAGTGCATAAGGGTGCATTGCACCCTCAGTTGAGTCGTTATGCACCCTCATTAGAAAAATAAAAAGTGAAAAAAGTGAAAAATAATAAGAATATAGTTGAAATAAAATAAATTGTAATTGTGGTTAAATAACATTGTCTGCTGCATTTATTTGGTCAATTTAAACGGTAACGTTATTATGTCAGGCGCGCGTGACCTGTGCCGCTGCGTGTTCGTCATCTGCAAGGTGCTTACACAGCAGTCAATGATTGACATCAGAAAATGGTTAAAACAACCAGCCCTTATCGCCAGCAGTAACACTGCATCTACTGCAGGTAATAACAGAGATCATGGGGACATTACGTTACCCGCGGCCACTGTCGTGGACACTAACGCCCGACTCGCCGGCTTTGCCCGCCTCGCCCACGGAGGCGGAGCAGCCGCAGCCGTCTTCGTTTCCCCAAACACGCCACCCCTCTGCGGCCCGCAAGTGCCAGAGGACCTCGGCAAAACAGAGCCTGCCCAGGTATATTTAAAAAAGTACCCAACTCGCCTGTACAGTGGGGTAAGGCGCTCATGTTGCAGCTCATCAATCTCTGTTTCAAAACAGAGATTGGCTGGAATATTCATGTAAAAAAAGATGCCATCTTCTGCTATGCATGTAGACATTTCGGTTCGAAAGGGGAGTCATTTTTAAAATATCCATAAAGAAAAAATAAATCTGCTTACAGTTGTGTTTCATCTGGGTGTTGAGATGTATCCTTAGATCTCTTCATGTTTCTCTCAAAGTGCACCAGATTGATGCTTTTAACTTCAATATTTAAAAAAAAATCTGCTCCCGGACCCCCCTAGAGGAGGTGAAGACCCCCCTAGAGGGTGTTAGGTCCACTCCCCACTTATAAAAATAGCTTTTTACCACTGCACCCTCTCTAATCTCAGATGCACCCTGAGTCATTTTGTTCTGGAACCGGGCCTGACTGTTAGCTTTAGTCTGTCCGTTAGCTTTACTTTGTCCGTTAGCTTTACTGTTAGCTTAACTTTGTCCGTTAGATTTACTGTTAGCTTTACTGTTAGCTTTACTTTGTCCGTTAGCTTTACTGTTAGCTTTACTTTGTCCGTTAGCTTAACTTTGTCCGTTAGCTTTACTGTTAGCTTTACTGTTAGCTTTACTGTGTCTGTTAGCTTTACTTTACTGTGTCTGTTAGCTTTACTTGTCCGTTTAGCTTAACTTTGTCCGTTAGCTTAACTTTGTCCGTTAGCTTTACTGTTAGCTTTACTGTTGTCTGTTAGCTTTACCGTTAGCTTTACTGTTAGCTTTACTTTGTCCGTTAGCTTTACCGTTAGCTTTACTGTGTTTGTCATTCTGTTTGCTAGTCATGTTGGGCGTTATCTGATTGTTGACGTGTTGTTGTGTGTTCCCAGGTCAGTCGTCTCAGCAGAGTTCGGTGCCGGACTACACCGCAGCGTTAGCAGAATATTACAGAACGCAGCCCTACCTGTGGAACGCCGCCCAGATACAGGTAGGTTCAATACCTGCTGACCAACAGTCAACAATGGTTGTTTTTAGCTAAACAAACAAGACTTTATTGATCCCAATTTGGGAAATGTTTGTTTGCTGCCATACTATTGGTTGCTGTCCAACTGAATGAATCCCACTATTTTATTCAAATGTTGGCTTTTGTTCAGGTATTTTTAAAGAAAGGTTGTTTATGTAATCTGATGGAGTGATGGTGCGCCTGTGATGTCACTTCCTGTCCCTGCAGGATCACTAGAGGCTCCTCCCTCACCGGCGAAGGCCTCCGATTGGTCGTCAACTGCAAACCGAATCGGGGTTTCCTAGCATCGCTCTGCCGCTTCCTCCTCCTTCCTTTTGTAGAGAAAACTAAGGATTAACTGAAAAATCACGAACTCTCTTCTTTTCTGTTTTTTAACTTTACAAAGTCGAAATATTTTGTCAGGCAGATTTTTTGGGACTAGCCTCCGGTCTTTCGCTCTCCACGGTGTAGGCCTGGTTTTTCTTTTTGTTTTATTTTTTATCAAACTTGAACTTAAAGATGTATCAGTGTGGCTTCGAACAAAAAAATCCAGTATAATCTATATTTTGTCTAGTTTTATTTTCCACTAAGACAACGGTATGAGGCTTAGCAGTCTTGAGTAAGACATTTTTGTTTATGATAATGTTTTTAAGCATGCGTCAGATTGTGTGTGTGTTGACTCTCAGTTATTTTTTTTTATTTTGGCATAGAAATATTTTAATAGCGTCGGATGGAAATCTAATGTTTTACCGTCAGTTATTTTTTGTACTAAATTTGTGCTCGCTGGGTCTGTTCTCTAATTTTACCTGTTTAGTCACCATCTTGGAGGTGCAATGACGCGTTTATTGTTTTGGTTTGATGATAGTTCTTATTCCTGTATCTCTATAGTGATTCTTTAGTTTTTATGATGTGATGATGAATAAATGACGATCTATATTGCGTGTTGTCTAAAGCCAGATCTCTCTGTGGTCAAGCAGTTTGTGTCCTGATCTCCCGCCGACACCACGTGCCCTCATTTAAACATGGGGAGAATTACTATTTTCTTACAAAGTGAAACTTTATTATTGTTGTTGTAACTTGGCTCCGTATTTCTACTTTGTCGATTTGTTTGTAGACGAAGTGTCAGGAGCTGAACAATGAAGTTATCGATTCTATTAGATTGTGCGTTAGCTAAACGGGCGAGCTAGCTTGTTAGCAACGAGATGTGCTTTACCTCAACTGTATGTTAGCTGAGTGCATGTGGTGGATTAGCTGTTTCTGTTTTTCTTGTAAATTAGATTGTACTGAATGTGTGCGTTAACATTTTTCGTTGGAAGAAAGCGGAGACTAAAATCCTTCTTTTTGTTCATGTGTTCGTTTCGGCTAACCCACGACACATCTCAAATACCAGAGTTATTAGTACATAACGCTCTTGTCACTCAGGAAATATTTTAAATTTCATCTAGAACTAGCAAAGACTCCAAAGAACCTTCATCAGAATTACGTAAAACCCCAAATACACTCATAACATCCATTCATCCACTTAAAAAGAAGCTAGTTGTAGCCGCTAACAAACTGCCATAACAATGAAAAACTATTACGATGTACTCATTTAGGCCAATTTATATAATACCAATCGATAGCTAGCTAACGAAGCAACATTTGTGAATATTTCTCAGCTTTTCCAAACTTTAATTTGTTAGTGCGCTGGCAATATAACAATTGCAAATGTATTCCCATGAGCTAACTGGGCATAGATGTGTGTTAGCTATACTGTGTGTTGTGACTGCTAGGTGGCTGTCTGTTAGCTCCAAAAAACCTTTGCTGGCATTTACTTCCTAAAAAAAAAAAAAAAAAAGCCCCACTTTGCTACGTAAAAAGAAGCTAATACAACTTGCCAACAAAATGCCGAATGAATTTGAAACAATTAAAATCAATTATATCTGCTTTATATCCACTTGTCTACGTCAGTTACCTGGCTAGCTAAGGGGGCAACATCTTTGAATAATGTCTCAGCGTTTCAAGATCTCCCTAAATTAGCCGAATGTTTGATAGCTAGTAATTTAGCATAGGCAGCTAGTAAGCTAGCATATGACGCTAGCAAAACCGTGTGTGTTGTGACTGCTAGGTAGCTGTCTGTTAGCTCTAAAGAACCTTTGCCGGCATTTACTTCCTAAAAATCCCCAATAGATTCCACGTTGCTAAGAAGCTAATCCAACCTGCTACCTAAAAAGAAGCTAATCCAACCTGCCAACAAACTGCCGGAACAATGTGAAACAATTATATCCATTTATATACGTTAGTGACCGGGCTAGCTAAGGGAGCAACATCTTTGAATAATGTGTCAGCGTTCCAAAATCACCCTGAATTAGCCGAATGTTTGTTAGCTCGTTTTTTTTAGCATTTTAAGCTAGTTAGCTAGCATAATATGCTAGCTGGACTTCATTAGCAAAACTGTGTGTGTTGTAGTTTAATGGTGCTGTATGTTTGTTAGCTTAACTGTGTGTGAACGTTGTTAGCCAAAGGGGGGGGGGTGTGTGTGAGCTGTTTGTTGTGTGTCCTTAAGGCTGGGTTATGTCTCTCAAACGTTATTTCGGATATTTTTAAACACATGTACAAACGCAAAGTATTTTTTTGTTCAGAGTTTCAGGTTTAACCCATAACGCCTCCTTCAGCATACCTTTGTAGAGGGGTGATTCCAGCCTTTAGCCTTGTGTGTGTTAGCAGTGTGTGTGTTAGCAGTGTGTGTGTTAGCATTGTGTATTTGTGTGTCGGACCACAGAGAGGTTTGTCATGCGTTGAGGGAGATCTGGCGTCTGTTGAGTTGAATTTTGAATCAGTGGTTCTGCTTCTTGTATGTGTGACGATGACGATAATAATAATAATGACAACGATAATAATGCGTTCTCCTGTGCAGGGGGTCTATTTAAATCTCCAGTTTTGAATATTCAGTTTGTCGATAAGATAATATGGTTTGTGTAAATTTTCCACTCTGGCGGGTGCTCTCCAGTTTAAAAAATGTACTTTGTTATCCTGTTAAAAAAATGATATTGTTTAATTCACATGTTGTGTCTAACCGATTTTGCAAAGAGAAGCTGAGTGTGTTATTTTCTCAAGACTGCTAGGCTAACTGTCTCTCTCTTCTTCTTGTCTGTCTGTTTGCGTCTCAACGGACGTCGCCACGCTTTAAAAAAAACTGCCGGGACTTTTTATTTGTCTGTAATCGGACCATGTGAGCGTTATCGTGGTGTTGAGCGCTCCCGCAGCCCGTTGGCGTGGCGACTCCGAGGCGAGGAGAGCTGTAGTGACGGGGTTTTACTCCCCGGGTAATAATTAAAAATCACCGGAGTTGACGGCGGCTCGGTCTCCAGCCTCAGATCAAGGCTTCGAATCTGATCCCGGCTGAGACCCCAAAATCCAGAGTCTGGCTATAAAGTTGCCGCCTCCCCGGTTTAGATCTTCCTCGCCCCCACCCCTCGTCCTGAAGGGGTGACGGGGAGCTCTTTTGGTTTCTTGGTTTCTGTTGTTTTTCTAATGGACAAACGTCCTAACTGTAACCTGCAGATTTTTCTATTAGATTCTATTGACAGATAGAGTTGTATGAACCCGAGCCACGGGACTGTCGGTGGCCGAGGGAGAGGAAGATGGATGATGATGATGATGTTGATGATTAACATGAGGGCTAATAAACAGGCTCGTTCTTTCTGACTCGTGTCTTTATCTCTGTCTGATGCACAACACAAACCAGGGGGGAACTAACGTGTTATGGGATTTGAGGGAAGAGGCCAAAAAGTCACAATGTCCTCATAAAAGCTTCTTCTGCATTAGTGAGCCTGAAGATTCACTAGTCATGTGATCAATCATTTTAATATCTTGAGATCACTATGTCCGATTAGTTTATATTTTATTAATCAGAAATTGGAATATTGTTTTGTACTTGCAGCAAAAAAAAAGAAATACACAATCAATCAATGTTTATTTATATAGCCCAATATCACAAATGTTACATTTGTCTCAGTGGACTTCACAGTTTGTACAGAATATCAGTATGACAATACGACACCCTCTGTCCTCAGACCCTCTGTCCTTAGACCCTCTGTCCTAGACCCTCACATGGTACAAGGAAACACTTCCAGAGAAACCCACAGTTTAAAGGGGAACATGGGAGAAACCTCAGGGAAAGCAGCAGAGGAGGGATCCCTCTCCCAGGACGGACAGACGTGCAATAGATGCCGTGTGTAAATTGAAGAGATAATACATTTACAGCATAGGGTAGTCCAAATGTTTGGAAATGCATGTGTCTGTAATAAGAAGATGAATCCACGAGGATGTCAACAATCCTGTGGAAGCCATCAGGGAAGTAGTATGATGAGAGTCAGGCAGGACCACAGAGACAGGTTCAGCCACGACTCAAAGTCCAGGACTCAGGATAGAGGATCCAGGACTCAGGATAGAGGATCCAGGACTCAGGACTCAGGATAGAGGATCCAGGACTCAGGATCCAGGACTCAGGATAGAGGATCCAGGACTCAGGATAGAGGATCCAGGACTCAGGACTCAGGATAGAGGATCCAGGACTCAGGATCCAGGACTCAGGATAGAGGATCCAGGACTCAGGACACAGTAGAAAGAAGTCTCTAAAAAATACACAATATGAAAAATGCAAAACAAATTAGAATACCCAAAATGAACTACAATAACAGAATAATATTGACGTATACTATATCCGGCTAATCTTAATTTTGTATACAAATCCAATGCACAAAGCTTCTGTTCGTACGGAGCGAAGCTGAGGTTTAATTATTTTAACTTCTGTGATTTAATGTCGCAAAATACAAATTGTTTATTTTACTAAAAATCTGTCCTAAATATTTATTTATTACACTTTTTATATCAAGGTAGTGTTTCTTTGAGGATATTGGTTTTATTTAGGTGTGTGTGTGTGTGTGTGTGATATTTCTCTCGTTTAATTTTCAACAATATTTTATTTATAATTAGTGTTCAGTTCTTAATATAATTTAAGTGGAAGATATTATTTGTCCTGTTCATTTCCTTCTTTTGTTCACGGTAAAATAGTTGAAGTACTCGTGTCCTGACAGGGAAAGTGGGAATTATTATTTATTAATATTTGTATTATTAATGTTCCCCGAGCGGAGACAGATGGTCTGACTGACGGTGTGATGTCATCTGTCATTAAGACATTACTGTAATCACACACACACACACACACACACACACACACACACACACACACACACACACACACACACACCTCGAGGGACCAGTAAACTGTGTGCTCTTCCTCTGCAGGTTTTCTATCAGTGCATATTTTAAAATATGAACGCAGCACTAATCGTTGAATTCAAACTGATCATGCACAAATGTGTAATAANCTGCAAGAGGTGAAGAGTGTGCTGTTACTGGCAGAGTGTGTGTGTGTGTGTGTGTGTGTGTGTGTGTGTGTGTGTGTGTGTGTGTGTGTGTGTGTTCTCCTTTGCTAAATGAATCCACCCACCTGACAGGTGTGGTAATTAAAGCAGATTAAACAGCATCATTACATGCTGCACATTGATGCGGTGTCTCCACTGAGTGCTTAACACTTCATGCTGGATTGATCTCAATTAGAAAGTATTATTATAGTAAATGTATTCTTAAATATTTCCTTTTTTATCCCACATGTCTCCAATTGTTTGCAGGATAATGCACATATTTGAACACAGCAGTTTCCTTATCATTTCTCCCCCCCGGGTATGAAACACGTGAGACCTAACTCTGACTGAAGGATGAGTTGTGTGCATGTTTGGTTCCCTCTGATCCTCCGTGGAGAAGGAAGGGCTTGTTCCTCCAGACGCCAACGAGGAGCTTCGAACCAGCTTTTCATCACCACGCACAGCCGACAACCCCCCCAACGAAACTTAAGATCAGAAGCAGTATTTTACGGTGTGCTATGCATGGGTCCGCCTTGAGGGGGCTAGTATCAGAAATGGGAATGACCTTGAATTGGGGTTCCTGCCATTAACCGGGTCGTCTTGATATTCTGTACAAACCGTGAAGTCCACTGAGACGAATGGAGAGTGTGTGATATTGGGTTGTTTCAATTAAGTTTGATTGAAAATGATCAATTATCTGCAGAAGTTCCTCCTGGAAAATGTCAGAGATTTCCTTGGAAGAAAAAAACATTTCAAATCTTCTTGTCAATTGTTTAGATTTTTAATTTGAGTCTGATTTTTTTTACAGTAGTTGGTCAAAAATCCTGAAACGCCTCAATTTACTTCCAGAACATAGTGACATCACTATCGAACACTCACGCTCCTATTGGCTAGCGCTTCAACACATTACCTGGAGAGACACGGGGATGGGGATGAAGAGGATGATGAGGATGGATGAGGATGGAGAGGATGATGAGGATGGATGAGGATGGAGAGGATGATGAGGATGGAGAGGATGGAGAGGGTGAAGAGGATGATGAGGATGGAGAGGATGGAGGATGGATGATGAGGATGGAGAGGATGAAGAAGATGGAGAGTGAGAGGAAGGTGGATCTTATTGTGAAAGAGAGAGAGAGGATAAAGTGCAGAGGAATCGGAGAGATGGATGAAGAAAGGTTGACATCAGACAGGAAACAACAAGAGGTGAAGAGTGTGCTGTTACTGGCAGAGTGTGTGTGTGTGTGTGTGTGTGTGTGTGTGTGTGTGTGTGTGTGTGTGTGTGTGTGTGTGTGTGTGTGTGTGTGTGTGTGTGCGTGTGTGTGTGTGTGTGTTGCGGTGCGCAGTGGTCATAAAGTACAGGAAGGAGCTCTGTAAGTACAGATGAAGCTGATTAAACATTAAAGTGATGGCGATCTGGATCTCGTCCAAATGTCTCCCGTGATGCTCAGGGACCAGCGATAAACTGTCCGTCTCTGTAACCCGGCAACAGCCTGAGAAAACATATTATGGGATGGCGGAGCGCGGGACCCCGGCGGAGGAAACATGAAGTCATTATCTGATGCTCTTTCAGGGTTTTCACTGCGCCAGCTCAGCCCGTGTTCTCGCGCTCAGAGCCAGAGGGGCGCGGGCTGGATTACCCAGACTGCGTTTCATTGAGCTGTTCATATTCACGGCTTGTATTCATGTGTTCTATACCTGTTGTGTTTATTTCATTATCTTTGCTTTGTAATGCCTGTTTTTAAATGCCCTTTTATAATGTGTTTCTGCTGTATTCTTAAATGTCTTTTATTTTAATTTGCACTTTGAATTGCCGTGCGCTGACAGGTGCAGTATAAAAAACGTGCCTTGCCTATTAGCCTATTACAAAGGTCTCAGTCTCGGAGAATGCATTTCCCTTTATTCCAAAAACTAAATAACCATTGGATTAAACGTCCAGTATTTGAAATATATTTGCATTTGATAGAAATGTATTTGAATCCCATTACAGCCAAAACATTTTTGATTCCTGGAAGAAAAATCCCCTTTTCACAAAACCCCAATATTCCCAAAAATAATTTAAAACGTTCTTTATTTAAACCCTAAATGTTAGATTTAGGAGAGTCTCAGGGTTAGTGTTCTGTCAGCACTTTAAAGGACATTTCAGAGAGAGATGTGCTGAGCATTCAACAAGGTTACAGTCCTCTCTTTAAAGTGGATATGTTGTGTCTTTATTTATCAATGAACAAATTACCGCTTTCACACCTGGATAAAAACGCAGTTATGAGTTAATCCTGTAGTTTCTGGAGGGTTTGCATCCTATAAAAGTATTTTTATTTAAACCCTAAATGTTGATTTAGGAGATTACGCCAGCTCACCGTGGATCCGTGTTAACGCTCAGAGGGATATCACAAAGGTCTAAAGGTTTCGGAGAATGCAAGATTTGCATTTGATAGAAATTTAAATTAAATCTCCGAGTTCTTTTTTGATTCCTCGAAAAAATCCCCTTTTCACAAAAACCCCAATACACTGACAAATCTGAACCGTTGACTTTAATTAAATGTAATATGTCAGCACATTTCACATAACTGCATTAGGTTAGTTGAAAGAAATAATATTAAGTTGAACCTAATATTTAACTTACTAACTTAAAGGTGGGGTATGTAATTCACTTCAGAATCACTTGTTGTTATATTCCATGGAATGCTCTTAACATCCTGATAGCAATGAATATCTGAAGTGCTTTGACAAGAAATCCATTAAAACATGTCATCTGTGGAAGCCCTGGTGCTGTAAAGAGCACGACCAATCATCTGAGCCGGCCCGGCTAAAGTAACTGGATGGCCTACCTGCCTGTCAGCCTTCCATCTGTGCACAAACTGATCTCGTGCCCTCATTGGTCATGTGCGTGTTCGTGTGTGTTGGAGGAGGGGCTCTGGAAGGAAAGGGCAGATCTTTTCCGGTTGTGTATTTTCAAATTCTAGCGCGCTCGAGCTGCTTTCTCCAGAATGACATACCTATCATGCAAAATGCTCTCTTTTACGTCTTTTGGACGGGGAACTCACGCAGCGTCAGAAAATAAAACCCTCTCTCTTTGCCT